TTGCGATTTCATGTTTACAGTTGTATGTTTTGATGTTTCAACTGGTGAAGTTCCTTGGGATTCTGGTTTTTCTAATATAGATAGATAGCTATCAATTATTCGAAATACCTCATTAGTAAATATTGAATTTGCTCTTTGTGAATTTTGGTGTTGTATATTTTTTATGTATTCTGTGAACACTTTTGAGAATTATATATCTATGTCGTCTGTTTGAAGTAGATATCTAGCATGAAATTTACTTGGGGTCTGTATTTCTATGGTATAGATTCCGTACTGTTGTGTTAGGTTACATATTCCTTTGATATAGTGGTCGATAATTTGTCTTTTGATTTTTACTTCTGGAAATTCTGCTGTGCATGGACTGTCTCCTTTTTCAAATGAATTTTGATTGAATTTTGACAAATTTGTACTAAGTTTAAGTATTATCCTGGGTCAGCTAAGAGGGGGGATCAAGTGAAGGATGAATAACCGAAGTTCTTCACTGTTTATCCTAAATAGAATGGTTAGTGTGATTGAAAAGTTTCTATTAGTCCTGGGTCTTAAGAAAGGGTTGGATAGTGAATCGACGTTTGAGGTCGTTAGACACTTTGCTATTTGTAAGGGGGAGAACAAAATTGTTCTATTTGATCCAAGGATAAGCCTTGATGATCAGGATATATTTTTAAAGATATAAATTTTAATTGAGATAAAATTGAAATGGAGGTCCAAGGAAAGCCTTGATGATCTGTTAAGTTTAAAAGGTTTAATTTAGGTGAAAGTAAAATTAGAAAAAGCCTTTTAAAATAATTTAAAGTTTAATTAATAGAAAAGTTTAGTTTCTGATGACGTAAGTGGTTTTATGATTTTCTGTTATGTTCAGGTGATGAAGCTGAGATGAAGAGATGATTTATATAATACTGACAATTTGTGTATTTACTAGCTAATTTTTATGTTTTATTTTCAATAAACATTCTTTCTAGATATCTTTTTCAAATTTACTGCAGATTGAGGGAAACGACTAGTGATGTTTTGATCAGTCGCTATTGTACAGTAATAAGTTAGCGCCTGTAATTATCGGTGAATACTTTTCTACAATGATACTATGTTTGCAAATGAAAATCTAAATTCATTGCTAATAAAAATCTAAATATAAAAGTTGGCTTTTGCCGTACGACCATGAAACTTATGGAAATTCCGTTGTAGTCGTATATCGTTTCTTGTTCGAGGTCTGTTTCCAATACCGGGTAGTTCTCATATTTTTCGGAATAGTGGCTCTGATCTATTGAGTCATACAGACATTTCAATTAAATTATTATCGTGTCACATTTTTGTGAATGTTTGTCTAAGTCTAATCTATTTTTGGTTAGTTCTAAGCTATTTGATTCCTTAAGGTCTTGTTCGAGAGTTATGTTCACACCACATCAGTTGGAGTTGATCTCCAACTCGTAGAGTAACTTCAGATAAGTTACACCGTCTGCTCGTGACGCTATCTTATTTTCGGCCGGATAGATTCGTGCAACTTCTTAGTCTTATACCAATCTTAACCTTACTCTTATATCTCCTAGTCTGAATAGATCTAGAGTATACTGGTTTGTTACGAGTCGGTCTCTTGGAAAAGGCAACTAAGTTGTAAGTTAAATTCAGAATGCTCTGGTCCTGAAATTACAAGTCATTTCAGCACTTTACAAATAAGTGGGTTGTTAGTTAGATGGAGTGTGATTGGTTAGTATTTAATATTTTATAGGGATAAAATATCTAATTTACAATCAATAATAATATAGTTTGGATCAGGTTCCAGTATACACAAAAGATGTAGCAATACAATGCAAATTAATACTGGTTATAAAAAGTGTTGCTTCGCATCCCGAGTCGAGATTTTTCTCCTAATTTGAAGCAAGATTTGAGCGGTTTGAGCGATTTTTTTAGACAATTACGCTCAAAATCTTGCTTCAAAATGAGCGGTTTGAGCGGTTTTTGAACGGTTTATCTAAAAAAAAAACGCTCAAAAACCGCGCAAGATTTGAACGGTTTTGAGCGGTTTATCTGAAAAAAACCGCTCAAAAACCGCGCAAGATTTAATCATAAAAAGTCGACCACAGAGGGATTCGAACCCGCAATCTTCTGATTCGAAGTCAGACGCCTTATCCGTTAGTCTATGCGGACTTGCTGGAAGATTAATATTCGCTGTATTTGTTCTACTGAATATGTTCAATGTTTTAGAAATGCACAACAAATATACTGTCAGGATTTTTATTGTCAGTCTCTACAAAATAACAAAAATAATCGATTATAAGATCGCACACCAACCCCCCCCCCCCACCTCTTACTAGAGTTGATGTCCCCCCTCACCTCTTACTAGAGTTGATGTCCCTTACTAGGGTTAGATGTCCCCTATTTAGAGAGAGAGAGGGGGCACGTCGTAGTTGGGGGTTTCGTGGGGGAATGGTTGAACGTGAGGGGGTTACGTCGTGGGTAGGGGGGTACGTTGAGGGGGGGTACGTTGGGGGGGGGGGGGGGGGGGGGGGGGGTACGTTGCCGCTCAAAAACCGCTCAAAAACCGCTCAAATCTTGCTTGAAAAACCGTTCAAAAATCACCGCAAGAAATGAGCGGTTTTTGAGCGGTTTTTTAAGCAAGATTTGAGCGGTTTGAGCGGTTTTTCCAAAAAAACCGCCCAAACCGCCCAAACCGCCCAAACCGCTCAAACCGCTCAAATCTTGCTGGAAAACCGCTCAATTCGCTCAAATCTTGAGCGGTTTTTGAGCGGGATCTCGACCCGGGATTAGTTTGCTAAAATTATTCAGCACAAGCGGTTGGCACAATCGTCAAGCAAACGGTAGTTCGGGGCTCGAACTCAAACAGGAGATTTAGAAAAATAGCCTAGATTTAGCTTATTTCTAATCAGTGAACTTTCAAATACCTGCCTTTTTTAAACATTTCGAAAAGATTTTCCAGTTAGATATTTAGATCGCATGTTAAGTGTTTCTTGTAAAAATTAAAGTTTTTGTTCGATACGGGCCGTAGTTCAAATGTGGCTAAAGTACTCATAATGGCGAAAACGAGGTTTCAGGCTTTCAGTTTTAGTGCGATGTAGTCTGAAAAATTACAGACTGAGACCTAAACATGTGCACGATTTTTCTAACTATAATGATTAAAGTGAAGGTATTCGAAATTGAGAAAAAAAACTAGAAAATAACCAAAAAGCGAGCAAACAAAAAAAACTAAATCCAGAATGGAAAAAGTTACAAATATAACAAACTGCGAATACTTTCTCAAAACAGTCTCAGATAAAGCAGACAATTCTAGCTAGTGACACTTCGCCGAGTTAATGAAAAGGGACATTTTGTAGCTGACGGAATAAACCAAGATTGATTGCATAGGTGTATCTTGAAACCTTTCATTTTGAATCCGAAACCCAGGAAGACATGGCCGTTTGGCTTCTTCCTGATACACTCAGGGCTTCCTCCTAATACAAAGAGCCATGCTCTTCTGGTTTTCGAAGAAAAATATTAATCAATGAGCTCGGGTAGTTTTTTAACCAGACAAAAACATACTTGATAACAGACTCAGTTCAAAATAAAGCTCAAATTTTCATAGTCTAGAAAGTTGACATAATCATTTAACATCACATAATTAGTCACGTCGCTTGAATCAAATTTTTGATGGATCAAATAAATATTAGAAGAAAGTCTAAAAACATACCCATTTTTGGCCGAGAAAGTCAAAACATATCTATCTATGCGGGGTCGGACAAACAATTTTTTAAAAATCGTCGGCCGAGAAAGTCGAAGCATATCTGAACTGAGTCGAACTAAGTCAAACACTTTTTTATTGGGCCGAGAAAATTGAAAGATTCCAAAATTTGGTCAGATAGTCAAAACATACCGAAATTTGTCCGAGAAATTAAACATACCGAAATTCGTTCGAGAAATTAAACATACCGAAATTTGTCCGAGAAATTAAACATACCGAAATTCGTTCGCCAACGTGGAAACATAAATCGAGCACCTCGACCTGGGTGTACATTGCTAAATAGAAACTTTTCAAAATTTTTTTCATTCTTTATGGTAATTTGCAATGCGACGAACTTTTTTTTTGAAAAGATACCAAAATTCCCTTGCGTCACCTCACGTCTCATCTTTTCATTGATAGAGTTTGTGTCATTTAAGCCGAAAAATCAAACCTTTGTGATTAGTTTTTTTTTTTAATTTCAGACAGTTTTCTTGATTTTTTTTTGAAAATTTCGAATTATTGTTGAAGAAGTTTTCCTGGCAGTCAAGTGAGTTTTTTTAGTCAAAATCTCTGGAAAAAACAAACCCTCAGACAATGTTTCTTTCCTAAGGGGTATTTGGAACAAAAACTGAGTAATACATACCAATAAAATATAACCGGGTTAACCTCTATACATCGAAAAAGCTTATCATACAATTCCATACATCAAGTGTATGGAAAAACGCTTGTCAGAAATCTTTCGAACAACTTCAAATAATTGGTTGAAAAAAATAAAAAACTAATTTCTGCGGCTGTTTGATTCTGATAAAACAGTCTGGTGATGAAAAAGCTGAGGTCTTTGTTTTTTGAAAAAAATGCAAATCAAACAATTCCTATGTATGCAAACCGTATGACGTAAATTTTTTCGATGGCGACACAAAATTTTTTCCATTTTGAAAATCAGTCAAAATCTAAAAACAAAAATTCAAACTCAAATCGAAATTTGTACTCAGACAAACATTTTCGCAAAATTTAATTTTTTGTGTGCATAACGTAGTCCTTGATACACTAATATTGGATTTTTTCCCTTTCGCTTAATAACTTTTTTTTCAAAAACGCAGAAATTTCCTTTTTTCTTGTGTATGGCTTGTTTATGTATGCCTTGGTCATTGCCTGATCATTTAAAAAATCAGTTTTTAAAAAGTCATCGTCAAACCCACAACCAAAAACTTGCAACCTTAATTGATCAGGGCAAAAACTTCTCTACACAGGAAGGATGTTGAGATTTTTCTTCAAATAAAAGCTGACTGACCTTTGAGGAAGTAGAGGAGGATGTAGAAGAAGCACTCGATGTCATCTCTGCGCGACTGCTCTAGCCCCAGATGGTTGTTGACACTCGCATACCTAGCAGTGCCCGTCATGTTCTTCCGCTCGTTGTAGTCGTACTGCACTCTCGTCCGCTTGTCTCTGTACTGTTTGCACAGACCAAAGTCTATCAAAAACACCTTCCACGTGTTGCTCTGCTCCTTGCCTGAACAGAAAACAGTAGTAAGAAGGGCACAAAGAGAATATTGCGTTCGAGAATCAGTTGGAAAGTTTAGTTTTAAAAATGAATCAGGTTTGACTTAGAAGAATTTTAAAAAACTGTCATTTCATTTCAAAAGTTTTAATTTTTAAAATAGTTTTTGGTCGCATAAATGCATTCAGACGGGGGCAACTGGGGATTTATCTTTTGGTTGAAAGGTCATTACTTCAAAAGCAATTGAGTTAGGTGTTGAAGATAGGTGCAAAGCCAGAGCTTTAGAACGAAGGCTTATAGTGCGATCGTTGTGATGATTTTTTACCTATAAAGTATTTCGTATTTATAGTCGATACTACAGAAGAAAAACACATAATTTCAAGATTTGTCTTTAAATATAAAAGTATAATTCGTTCACGAGTTCTTTTTTTGTTTTTTTTATACATAAAATGCATTCGAAGTATGTAGTGACAACTTCATGGATAATATTTCTTAATAACATGGGAAATTACTTTGGTTGACACATTTGGACAATTGGTTAAACTGATACGGATAGTAGACAAATTACAACGGATAGTAGACAGACATCATTCGAACAAGCGAGTTCGAATATTATTTCTCTTTAAGCTTCAGCTAGGGGCTCAGTTAAAGCTAAAGATACGAGTTTGACATATATACCATTTCAACTCGACGCAGCACGTCTCCCGCACTGAGCGCTCCTGGATTCTAATCAATTATAACGGATTCCCGCGACAAAAATAAGCCATTATAATCCATTTCACATGTGAAATTCAGACCACGAAATCGATTATATTGCCATTATATTAGATTACTTTTGAAAAAACAGAATTATTACAATCCATTATTTTTGGCTAGTAAATCGAATTTTTTGCTACGATAATCCATTTTAATCGTTTTTTTTAATAAAAATCCTTTCTAATACATTACAATCGATTATAATTCATTTCATTTTTAGAACTGAATTCGATTATTTTTGCAGAAATTTTGCAAATTTTGCAAACATGCCATGTCTTTTACTAAATGCCATGTCTCAACGTACGTCACCCCCTCAAGTGTTTCTACATCCTCCCCAACTAAAGAGAGGGAGTGTAAGCTGGAAGGGGGATGTAAACTGGTAAGGGGGTTAACTGGAGCGGTTTAACTTGGGGGGGGGGGGGGAGGGGGGGTTTGGGGAGGGTTTTGGAATCAGATCTAAACTAGATTTTATTATTGGATATTATTCTAATATTTTATCCCCATAAAATATTGAATACTAACCAATCATACTCCATCAAACTAACAACCCACTTATTAGTAAGTGCTGAAATTACTAGTAATTTCAGAACCAGAGAAATTTGAATTTAACTTAGAACTTAGTTGCTTTCTCCAAGAGACCGACTCGTATTAAACCAGTATACACTAGATCTATTGAGACTAGGAGATATAAGAGTAAGACTAAGATCGATAATAGACTAAGAAGTTGCACGAATCTAGCCGGCCAAAAATAAGACAGCGTGACGAGCAGACGGCGTACCCTATCTGAAATTACTCTATGAGTTAACCAACACCAACTAACTCATCTGGTGCGACCAAAACTCTCGAACAAGACCTTAACCAACCACAGATTAGAAACTTTAACCAAAACATTAGATTAGATTTAGACAAATATAACGTTTTCAAAAAATGTTATATTACAAAAATTTAGTAGAAATGTCTCTAAGACTCAATAGATCAGAGCCATTTTTCCGAACAATACGAGAACTACCCGGTATTCGAAGAAGACCTCGGACAAGAGACGACATACGATTAGGATGAAATCTACCAATAGATTTCATGCTGGTACGTCAATAGCCGACTCAAACTTTCATATTTGGAATATGACTAGATTTTCATTTACTGACATAGAATTTTTGAAGAAAAGTCTTCAACAGTTTTTAAAGGCGCTAAACCTAATAGTTGTACAATAACGACTGATAACAACAGCTCTAGTCGTTCTCTCCAAAAAATCTGCAGTAAAATCAAATTATCTTGGAAAAATATTTATTAAATACAAAAGTACAAAAATTAGTTTGTATAAAACAAATTGTTATTATATATAAATCATCTTTTCATCCCGGCTTCATCACGTAAAACTTAGCAGCAAATCTCAAAAACATTCACATCATCAAAACTTAACCTTAATCTATTTCTTTCACTCAAGTCCTTACCTAAATTATCAAGGCTTATCCTTGTTTTCATTTAAATTAATCTTATTTAAAATAACAGATCATCAAGGCTTACCTTGGCTCTTTAAATCAATTTCATTTAACTTAAATTAAATTAAATTTATATAAAATATTTTGATCATCAAGGCTTATCATTGGATCGATTAGAACAATTTTGTTCTCCCCCTCCCAAATTAATCAGTGTCTAACGACCTCAAACGTCGATTCACAATCTAACTTCTACTCAAGACCCAGGATTAACAGAATTTTTTCAAAGACTAACCATTCTAATTAAGAGAAACAGTGAAGAACTTCGGTTACTCATTCTTCACTTGATCCCTCCTCTTAGCTGACCCAGGATAATACTTAAACTTAGTAAACTTAAATTAGTATCTAACGAACTACTTGCATTCTAATTATACCTGAACCTTGTGGATCGATTTACTATTCTCCAACTCTTGATCACAAAACACTACCCCTAAGTAAGGTTAGGTAAGTCTATCTTAGCTTAGATTAGCCACGAGAATAAAAAAAAAATTCTCACGAATCGATATATGCTTTTCCCTCCAACCCCACAATACACGACAGAAGTTAAGTTAACCACAAAAAATTGGAAGAACTAATAGTTCAAGACATTACAAATCACTAATCCAAATCTCGAAACCATCATCCTAAGCCTTATGTCAAGAGACAATTTAGGAAATAAACAAACAATTATATTGCACAATTGTATAAATAACGACAAAAAATACGACCTCGTAATCACACCACACAGACAAACAATAGGATACATAAGAAGAAAACGTCAAATACTTTGGAAGAAAATTATAAGCAAACAAAAACAAATTATTCGAAAACGATTTTCAAAGCGAAGCAACGCAGTCTCAGAATCAGAAACCAGTGAAATATAGGAACTCCACAAACTAAAAGACTCAAAAAACAAAAACCATCAAATTGACAATTAATTAAAATTTTCTGACTCAGTAACCACATCACCATCATCAATAAAAGGTAAAAAAAAGATTAAAAAGTCATACTCAAACAAACCAATACGTCTATATAATTGGAATCAACCAATAAAACACATTGAAAATTACACACTAACAGTCATAAAACACAAAAATGATTCAAAATGAAGAAAAGCAAGAAGAAAATTCGATTCTCCTTCTTTAAAAAACCCATTAGCTGAAAACCGAAGACAAGTACAAATTTGTCAAAATTCAATCAAAATTCATTTGAAAAAGGAGACAGTCCATGTACAAAAGAATTCCCAGAAGTAAAAACCAAAACACAAATTCTTGATCACTATCTAAAAGGAATTTGCAACCTTACACAACAATATGGAATCAATACAAAAGAAATCAGTTCACCAATGCATTTCATGACAGATATCTAATTCAAACAGATGACGTAGAAATCGAATTTTCAAAAGTTTTCACAGAATACATAAAAAATATACAACATCAAATCTCACAAAGAGCGAATTCAATATTCACCAACGATGTATTTTCACTTACTTACAGCTATTTATCTATATTAGACACATCAAAATCCCAGAGAGATTCGCCAATTCAAACATCTCGACATACAACCGTAAAACAGGAAATTGGAATTTTTTCTGAACTTTTAAACGCAATCCGTGAAAATCTAACAAGTAATGAAATCACACAACATGTTGATGTTGAACACGATTTACAAAAAATCTTGGCATGGTTCATAATTGTTTATTTTGCACATATTATTGACCTCATTTCACGTAGAAGAAAAAACGTTAGAACACAAGATACAGATGACAAAACTGTTTTAGCAGAACTAACAGATTATGTTTGGTACCCTGAGTGGTCTCATACATTGTTTGTGAATCTACCAACAGATATATCAAGCCAAGCAATTAACTTAATTTCAATTCACAAAAACTATGTTAAAATATATCCAAATGCAGTTGACGCAACACTTTTAAACTACAATTCATTCTTTCCCGATAGAGCAGGAAACAATAGTCCAAATTCAACTTTTATAGAACAAGAAAACTTAAACGGAACAAGAAATCTTTCACAACAAGATATTCAAACCCCATCACATTTTGTAGGTAAAGAAATAGTTGAAACAATAACAACTACAGCACAACAAAGTATCTCACCTATTCATACAAGACCAAAAACCCTCTGTTGCTCCAAAATACTCACATATGGATTACCAAACTTTTAGACCACTGACAAAACCATCACAAAAACAAAGCACATTATATAGAAAAAATTTTGCAGAACATAACTATAACTATGTAAATAGACCAAAAACAACCAAACCATCCAGTACAAGTACCCAAAACTACTAATACCCACAAAGTCAAAATATACAATAACCATCATCAAACTCAGTAAATTTTAATTATTATCCACAAACTTCACAAGATCGAAGTGAAAATTATCCATTTTTTCAACAAAACAAACATAATACAAATCAATATCACTACAGAAATCAACCTCCTTACCATACAGCTAGTTATATTCCATCAGCTGATGAAGAATATTATAACCCAAATTTTCAAGTATTTTATCCAAGCCACATACCTCGTTATTATAACATAGATCAACCAGGTATTTTTGAACCATATACACGAGAAGAACAAATACGACAACCTAGAACAAATGCATTATCTAAGAATAGTTTTGTTCAACCACAAAATCCAGTCAATACACAATCTTATCAACCAACTCAAATGCATAGCGAAAACCCACTACCATATTATTTACAACAACATGAAATAACAAAAAACCAACTTACAAATTTTTCTCAAATGCCAAATACCGCAGAATCTTTACAGATGAATATGAATCCATACCTAATGGGTGGATCATTAATATCATCAAATAAGCCACTAATCGTCTTCACAGGTACGAACCCTGAATACTATGTAGAGGATTATCTAAACGCAATCACAGCAAATCTAATTTTAAATATAGGACCTGAACCAATAAATACGCCACTTCATCTAGATTGGATACATAGACGCACAGCATTAATAGAAACCACACTTGATGGCGCAGCCCAAAAACGGTTTTCAATTTTACCTATAGATATAAAATCAGATTGGAAAAGATTCACACAAGAGTTTTCAAAAATGTTTGACTCTGAAAGAAACAAACAACATCAAAGAGTTTTATGCAATGAAAAAGAGCGGTCTCTTTTCTACTTACTCCGCTATTTCAAAATTTCCAATTTGTTCAGTTGTCTTACTGGTTATAATGGCTAAACGCGTGATTTTACGAAATAAGGCAAGAGGAACAAATGTGTTCAAGAAATTTAGTTTAATCACCATGCGACATTTCAATGCATTATGACCACACAAAATCAGCTTTTAAAATTTCAAACCAACTGTGGTTAGGGGGAATGGAAAAAAGCCCTGTATTTGAATCAGTTCAAAAATCAACGTTTTTTCTGCTACATTTGGCTTATATTGAACATTTTTTGTCTTTGCTACCACCAATATAAGCATTTAAAACTGGTTAGGTTTAACTGATTTAACTTTCATCAGCTGCGGGTTTCTTTCAATCAGAGTGAAGTAATTTTTGGGATTTTTTTGTTTCGTGGTAAACTTTTGCGTACAATGGTGGCATTTTTTTTAAAGCGTTCATGTTAGATTTCTGAGCTCTCTTGAAACGCTAAAAAGAACCACATCCGGCAAAAGAAAGGCAGCGCCCCTCGACGCCGAGCTCCTTCATTTTTTATCCTGAAGCTCACTTCCATACCATACCTATCATCATATTATCTGGTTTCATGTCTCTGTGAATGTAGCCTTCTTCGTGCAGGCACTGCAGCCGCGTAATCATCTGATCAGCGATCATAATCGACGTCTTGACTGTGAAGCGTCGGTCGCACTTATCGAACAGACCTTCGAGACTCTCACCCAGTAACTGCATAACCATGGCGTAATACTGCTCGTTCATTTTGTAGTAGCCGAACACTCGTGGGTATCCATCAATATGTTTCAGTTCGTTCAGCAATGCATACTCGGACTTAAGTTGTGCACTTTTCTCAGTAGTTTTCTCTAGCTTGACCGCGTACTCTTTGTTGTCATTGCCCGTCTCCACCGCCTTGTAGATCTCCCCGAAAGACCCGCTGCCCAGACGCTGGGTGAGTTTGTAGCGCCCGTTGTCTATGGTCTTGTGGAGGTTGTTATCGTTCTGCTGGTTCGACATGGTTAGATATTAACGCATATACGAAGCTTCATTGCATCAAGAAGTCGTAAAAAGTCACGTGGTATTTTAATATGACGCATCAACTATCATTAACGGCATTGCTTTATATCCTCGCTGTTTCCTGATTACCGTTTTAAATCTGATTTGCCCCCCCCCCCCCTCCACTTCAATTAAGGATCAATTTTATGGTGTACCGTGCGGTTTAACCAGTTTAAGTATGGAGACAAAAAATTTTTCATAGCCTAATTAGTCCACATGCCAATTTGTGCAACAATCGGGCAAGTTGAACAGAAAAATTATTATTAAAAACTTGCAGACGTGGAGGAAAATGAAGAAGGGCGCTTCTCTGGGTCTACACAGGTTTTTGCCATCTTGCAAAATTACGAAAGCGTTTACTAAAGACAATTTATCACCTTTGGATTCTTTTCTCATAATTCAGATAAGCTTTAATTTATGGTGTAACAAGGCGTTTTACAAAGATAGCTAAAAGACGAGAACCTTTCCCATTACAGCCCCCATCATAGCCTACTTGACAAAAAATTATAGTCCTCCCCCAGTTTTTGAACTTTTAATTGATTTTGTAATAACAGTTCAATCAGTTGGTTTCATTCAAATGTAGATTCATAGTACAAAAGGTACCTATACATTGTTAGTACTGAACTACGTAAAGCATAGAGTTACGGGGTTGAAAAATAAACGTGAACATGTAACTCACGTCTTTTTCGCGGCTCGTTTCCCTTCGACCACCCCCCCCCCCTCCGCCACCTCACATAAGCATCGTTTTCGTGTTGTAACGAGTGATTTTACGAGGTTGTGTATGAGGACCAAATATGTTTTGTTTGTCATAGCCTAATTAGTCGGTATGCCTAATTTTTAACAATCCGTTGACGTCAACAGAAAGCTTCCTCTTAAAATTTTAAAAGATAGAAACTTACCACAGTCTCAGCTGACACCAAAGAAATTCTAAACATCCTGATTAACAATGCTAACTCCTCTGGCTTTTTGATTCAATACTTCGTTTCCCACTGCACTATCATTAGCTGATGTGGAGAGAATTTTTGGCAACAAATGAATGACCATCATTAGAACGTCAAACTGTGCATTTTCGGGAAAAGTGAGTGAATTCCGCTATATGCCAAAATCAGTATCGTCGCGGAATCCGCAAACTCGTTGAATTTCTATGCTGTTTGGGATTCCTCAAACAGATAGCACCGATTTTGCCAACCTTGTCTATTCTTCCCGTCGAGAACCATTTTGAAACGGAAATGTAATTTTTTGTCCAGTCTGGTCAAATTATCCTCAAAGCGTTGAATGCAAGTTTTTTGTGAGGATGCATACTATCTGTTAATTTTTGTGTATTTTCCAAAGAGCTTTGTTCACGCATCGAGCAGTCATGCGGAAAAACGCATCAAATGCCTTCAGTAATGACAAGTGTTATTTCAGGTAACTATTCTCGAAATGGCATATTGAATTCAACTCGTATAGCAGTTTCTGGCTCGCGAAAGAATTCCAGGACAGGGTGAGTTGGGAGAGATGGGAAATCAGTGCTTGCTAACTGTCACAACCTTCTCTGGAGGGTCTAGTTTTTGGAGAAAATTAGCCAACCCGAGTCGAGATTTTTCACCTAATTTGAAGCAAGATTTGAGCGGTTTGAGCGGTTTCTTAGACGATTGCGCTCAAAATCTTGCTTCAAAATGAGCGGTTTGAGCGGTTTTTGAACGGTTTATCTAAAAAAACTGCTCAAAAACCGCGCAAGCTTTGAACGGTTTTGAGCGGTTTATCTAAAAAACCCGCTCAAAAACCGCGCAAGATTTGAGCGGTTTTTGAGCGGTTTTTTCTAGATAAACCGCTCAAAACCGTTCAAATCTTGCGCGGTTTTTTTAGATAAACCGTTCAAAAACCGCTCAAAAACCGCTCAAACCGCTCATTTTGAAGCAAGATTTTGAGCGTAATCGTCTAAAAAAAGTCGCTCAAACCGCTCAAATCTTGCTTCAAATTAGGTGAAAAATCTCGACTCGGATGGTGTCATTTGACACGAAGATGGGGAGACATGAAACAGTAACAGATGAATGCTCATAAGAGACACCAAAAATGACATGCAAAAAACTGGAGATAACTCACTACAAGTAGCTTTGCTCCTACTTAACTTAGAGAGTTCGTTTGAATATAGGAATTTTGTTGTTCCGCAGTTTTACTTCGATCGTACAATGCAAAAGCAGAGGCGATGTGCTTTGAATTTGACATTTTGATTCCGCAGTTTTAAGGTAATGTTCTGCTGGCATGGGACAATTTCTATTTGTTTTTCAGAAGATTTGAATTTTGTTACATAAAATTGAACCTTAAATGCTCAGCAACTGGCTGAGAAGAACTAGTTCTTTCCAATGCTTAGATCGAACATCACAGGAAAATTTTCATAATTTTTACTTTGGTTGAGCTTTCCACTTAAAATGGTGAATTTTTTGCTTTTGAATGCCGCACTGGGCTTTGTCCGGATATAATTAAACGTTTTGAGTGATTTTCAGTATAACTGCGTGAACAAAAGCAGCGCCGTACTTATTCACGGCAAATAGTTACTCATACTGTAAGTTGAAAACTCGACCAGGATAACGAGACCATTAATCCTGCGAGTCAATGTTTGGTGTAGAAAAGCTAAGATATCTTCACATATCGAATCATCGGCACACCAGAAAATGCTCAGAGTCGATTGCATACTAAGGTAAGCATTGAGGAGTCTGAATGCGAGCCTGGTAAGGTGCACAACCCCAAACTCACAATTTTTTTCGCATATGTCCACGCTTAATCTTTGAACCTCTGTGGTTCTCAAAAAAGTAATTGCAACTGCTTTGATGCAAGAAAATAGATGGTTTTGAAGCCAGAATTTTTTTTGGGCTAACAGAAGTACGTATACAGAGCGCTTTATTCGACGGTTGCTAGGCGAACGTATCTAAGAGAAGGAACGAATATATTGTAGCTTGTTATTTCTCGCCAAGACTGTATAGTGTTGATGATAACAGATGAATGCTCATAAGAGACACCAAAAATGACATGCAAAAAACTGGAGATAACTCACTACAAGTAGCTTTGCTCCTACTTAACTTAGAGAGTTCGTTTGAATATAGGAATTTTGTTGTTCCGCAGTTTTATTTCGATCGTACAATGCAAAAGCAGAGGCGAATATGCTTTGAATTTGACATTTTGATTCCGCAGTTTTAAGGTAATGTTCTGCTGGCATGGGACAATTTCTATTTGTTTTTCAGAAGATTTGAATTTTGTTACATAAAATTGAACCTTAAATGCTCAGCAACTGGCTGAGAAGAACTAGTTCTTTCCAATGCTTAGATCGAACATCACAGGAAAACTTTCATAATTTTTACTTTGGTTGAGCTTTCCACTTAAAATGGTGAATTTTTTGCTTTTGAATGCCGCACTGGGCTTTGTCCGGATATAATAAAACGTTTTGAGTGATTTTCAGTATAACTGCGTGAACAAAAGCAGCGCCGTACTTATTCACGGCAAATAGTTACTCATACTGTAAGTTGAAAACTCGACCAGGATAACGAGACCATTAATCCTGCGAGTCAATGTTTGGTGTAGAAAAGCTAAGATATCTTCACATATCGAATCATCGGCACACCAGAAAATGCTCAGAGTCGATTGCATACTAAGGTAAACATTCAGGAGTCTGAATGCGAGCCTGGTAAGGTGCACAACCCCAAAATCACAATTTTTTTCGCATATGTCCACGCTTAATCTTTGAACCTCTGTGGTTCTCAAAAAAGTAATTGCAACTGTTTTGATGCAAGAAAATAGATGGTTTTGAAGCCAGAATTTTTTTTGGGCTAACAGAAGTACGTATACAGAGCGCTTTATTCGACGGTTGCTAGGCGAACGTATCTAAGAGAAGGAACGAATATATTGTAGCTTGTTATTTCTAGCCAAGACTGTATAGTGTTGATGATAGAATCAACGCTTCCAGTTTTTGCCGACTTGGCCAAATCTTACTGAAAGTTTTTGAAGACCGCAATTCATAGATAAATGAGTGATAATAATATAAATCAAAGCTTTTGCGACCAATTTTACAGCTTTTTTATACTCTGCGCTTTTTTTTTAGCCACGTCCATTAGTTTTTCGAAGTTTTTCGATGACATCAAGCAGAAAAAAAAGAACTTCGCGCTAAACTTTTTTTGAAGTGCGCCACTGTTGTAGTTTCACTGGTTTTAAAATTTGATAAGATGATGCCTGTACAAGGATGCGCTTGTTGATGTTCCCGATCGTTCTAAGAATGCTGGAAGACTTAATGGTTGTGAGGTTACTGATGCTTCTGATGATATTGAGGTTGTACAAGTTTCCGAGGGTTTTGATGGTGTTGAGTTTCTTAGTGGTTTGAAAACTTTTAAGTTTCTCAATTGTTATGAATGTGCTGAAACTTGTGTTGGTGGTTCCCAGGATGCTGCTGATGTTTTTGATGGTTGCTCATACAGTTTTCATACAATAGTTTGAGCAGTTTTTTCGCTTTTTCATAACTCGGAAAGTGCTAGACGCCACGTAGTATCAACATCTGAATACTTCCTTACGCTACTGCAACCGGTTGACTTTTATTTTTGTTTTTTGTAAAAGATCATTAATGGCCAGTGTCGTTCCTTCTGTCACTTCTAAAACAAGTTTCTGCAATTGTCGACATCTGTTTGTCAACCCTTTTCCTGCTATTTCGTCAAAAAATTTTGCGTCTACAAACGGCCAATCGCTTTTTGATCTAAACCGGTCAATCGCGTCCAAAAATAACCATATAACTTAATTGAAGACAACTTCGAAAAACGTTATCAAATGTCCCCCCTGTTTTGAGGGGAAAAGTAAATAGCATGATTCACAAAGTACATCCATCTGCATCTGACATATTGACAATTTGATCCGCTCCTTTCAACAGCGCATTTGCACTGAAACCTCAAATGCTGAAAAAACGTTCCGTTCAGTTCAAATCCACCCTGCTGACAATAATTCAC